ATGTTTATTTACTGTACGAACACCACACCCGGCTGCATGGCTCTGGTATTGAACCCTTAACCCTTTAGATCCACCCCTTTTGCCAGCTCTGGCCACGCCTACGCTTGAGGCACGGATCCGAGCTTTCCCATTGGTTATTTCTCGCATTGATTCCGGCTGTGGGCGTGGCTTGTGGATGCAGTCTCTTGGTCTCCTCCAATATGGATCCCATGCGAGGAGAGATGAGGTTATGGCCGTTATACGTCGTTAACTCATTTTTAGAGAAAATAGACGTAAAACGTACTAGCCTGCTACGCTTCGGCACCCAGTTTCGTTTTAACTTTTAACAATCTATTCGAAATGTCAAGTAAAAAAAAAATATAACTTTGGCCCTATATATTTCACTTTACTGCTCGCATGTTATCAGTCCTCGCAACTATTAACCATAAATTTCTGAAATACAATGTAAGAGTATTCAGCCATTTTCTTAATGTTGTTCAGTTTCTGTTCTCACATGTATGTCCTATATATATCGTATGTCCTTCACCCAACTTGTACGTGATCAATATAAGCCTTTGTGCAAGAAATTTCGTGGGTATGTTCCGTTTTATATTTTTATTTCCTATTTCTGATATCGTAATCGATTTACCTTAATGTCGATTCGCAATGTCAGTTTAATGATATCGATATGCTGAAGCTCTGATTTCAACGCCCACATGTGCAGCAGTTGGACGTTTCTTCGAGTGTTATCTCAGTACATTTCAGTGCGCGTATACAAAAGCATCTTGTGGGTTAGACCACTCATATTTTTACAAATTTATGCCTGTAATATGCGGTAATATGATTTGTTTGAGAGGATAAGAATGAAAATAGCGAATATGTGACTTCTTGTACAGTAAGTAAGTGAAGTTACTCTGAAGAGTGTACACAGATGCAAGGAGTGCGTTTACGGGGTGGAAAAGATGAGAGACAATGTCAGTAGAAGACGATGAGACGTATCTTACGAAATAGGATTTGAGGTTTCCACGGCGGTGAGTCTGAAGATGGCTGTCTTATGGGTTGTAGCGCCGTGTAGTCTGGTAGAAGTTTACAGACGTTTTAGAGGTCCTTGCTGCTTCCATCATCAGGGCTATGACTCATTGTTTGCTCCACGAACTTTATGATGAGTTTAAAGAAATTTCGATATCACCTTTATATAATGGTAGGGTATGTATGTGTAGTTTCCTTTCAGACTTGAGTGTATGCCTTCTTCTTAATATCACTGAATGAAATTATTTTTAATATTTGACGGGAAGAAATTTCGTATTGCTCTCCCAGCTGTTTGCTTGGCAAGTTCAGGAGAAGAGTGTAATAATGAGATTGGAAGTAGAACAGGACTCGCTCATGCAAATAAGCATCTTGCAGTTGCACAAGTTGGTACCTTTGTTTCACAAAGTTTTGCGCTCTGACTTTTTCGAAATGCAGTTGGCTGTGTGCATGAATGAGGAGGCATAGACCTGTCACCGACGGTGTGTGTATGTGATTCTGTATAAATAAATTATAATGCTGATCTTTATGGTGCTTTTAGTGTTATGGAAAACAGGTTTTAGTTTATTTTTGTATACCTCCCGCTAAACCCCTCTTTCCCCCCCCCCCCCCCCCCCCCCCTTCAACAAGACACGTGGTTTCCAATTCACTGAGTAACCTATATAGACAGCGAAGTTTTCCTTCCCGCCAAATTCCTGACTGCTTTATATATATTATGTTGGTCTGTCTTGACTCAACCATGAATGGGAGGAGGGGGGCGGATAACACTGTATACGAATGGAGGTCAATGTCAGGGTTATATTTACAAAGGACGGGTCCTTCAGAGAGGTGTCGTAATTTTTATGGTTGCAGTATTGTCTAGTTTATACATTCTAAATGGCTGTACCCAAGGCAAGGCCACACTTCACAACCGACAAAGGGCGACTGATTACTAGAATTTTTAAATTCAGCAGCCCAAATGATTTCAGATTGGTTTCTGTGCGTCTCCGTTTGACAGGAATAAGGATTACTTTATCTTCGCCATTGCTGTACCAGAGCTCTCTGATTTTTCTTTGGGCTAGCCGGCCAGAGCGTGAAGCTAGACACTTATATCGATCTAATGTGGACTCTAAAGATTAAAGAGGACTCTACGATTGTGTGGTGCTTAGACACGGGAAATTTGTGGTAGGCCGTTCCATTGTGTGAAAGCTGTCGTAGTTAAATTTATTTTTTTGAAAGGGACGTTTAAGGAAACACTGAGTTGGGAAAATTGCGTTATGAGGAGCATGGTCGTTTGTCGTAGTCTTCCCATATATTATTAGTGTGATAAAATAAAGGAAGATTGGATTGGCGTGGCATGTAGCGCGAATGGGTAAAAGTAAAGTTTGTCCCACTATACGCCATGTAGGCGTTTGGGGTGAGTGGAGGTATAGCTCCTCTCTTCCTTGACCTCGGCACTAGATGGGGGTGAGTGGTCAGCATCACGCCCCGGCCGGCTTTACCCCCGGAAAAGGACCCCGGTACCCATTGTAGAGGAGGCTGGGTGTGCCCCAGAGCCGGTCTGGACGCAAGGTAGCGCGAATGGGTAGGGGGGAGAGAAATACGTACAGAATCTTGGTTGGAAAGCCATGAAGACTGGGCGTAGATGGGAGGATGATGATAAAATGGGTCTTGGGGAAATCGGGTTTAGGGGTGCGGACTGGATTAATCTGGCACAGGTGTAGGGACCGATGTAGGGCGGTTGTGAACACGATAATGTATCTTTTGATTCCGTAAAATGCAAGAAATTTCTTTGCTTACCTGAGGGTACTCTTTTTTGTTGAGGACTGCACCATGGAGTTGGTTTTGTCCGCATTCCTGGGCACGGACTTCGATGCTTGCTTGTATTGGTGACTAATATCGCACGCTTTGAGGGAGGGATGGAGGGGGGGTATTGTGACTGGGTCAGATTTAATGGGAAGAGGATTTAAGGGGAAGGAATACGAATTACATTACGTAATTTTCAAGGTCTTTTGCCCCCCTCCTGACCTACACTTGTAAGCTATTATATAGATAAAAATGTGAATGAACTGTTTTAACTTCCGTGACGTAGAAACATGGAATGTAGAAACTTGTGAGCGGACGTGGGAACTCAGGAATTATGTATGGCCGGTCGTATGCATGCAGACACGGGCGTGGGCTTGCTACCATCGCGAGTGCGTGTATTATTGTTCATTTATAAGTCGGCTTGAATTTGAATCATCTTATAAATGGACGTCCAGGTTTCTGTGTCCGTATGTGATGATCGGGCAACGCTGGTCTCACTACTATTTTCATGCTTTCGTATGTAGGTACGAGAATTCGTAGGCGTGGAAAGCTCCCTTGCCCTCGGGTCTTCAGGCCCCAGACTTTGTCGTGTGATTATAAATTCATGTACCATGTTTTTTTCGATCTTTAGGAGGAATGTCGCTAACCATCTATAGGAATGCACAGCGTCATAATACAGGGACCACAGTCAACATTACTTACTGGTGAAAGTTCCATCACTTTATGTACTCGCATTTTGGCAAATGTTATCCTTTTATATTTCTGAACGAGTGTTTGAAGCTTTCTGAAAACATATTGAACGTGGATTCACTTCTAGGCCTCAAGAAGTGTCTTGTGGTTGTTAATGTACTAATGAAACCCTAAACGTTTAAGTGAATTTGTCTTCAGTGTCAGCTAAAAAAATGAAATTCGTTTGTTGTAATACATACTTGGACGTGAATGGGACTTGAATGACAGAAACCTCGTCATTTGATTAATACCTAACGTCCTGCTAAAATCGATCACGTACTTCACGAACTGTCTGCGTATTGTAAGTGGTAAATATATTAATGATAACAGTATGTTGTATGCCGTAAGTGAATGAAACATTCAGGCTAGAAACCACAGTTAATGTAGGCGTACTCATTTTTCACGTCACTAGTTGTAAGCGACGAAATTGTCTGCGTTTCACGTGTCTTTTGTTTTCTTCAGAAACTGCTTTGATTCAACTAGTTGCTGTTGGCGGTTTTATAAATAACAGAGGCCTTGCGAGGTCTTTCTGAATAATTCCGAATATTTAGTGCGGTTTGAGTATGACAAGAAAGATGTCGGACATTTCATCAAGAAGGCGAATTTAGATCAAAGGGCAAGGTTCTAGACGATGGTTGGAATCCACGTGTGGATGTGATTAGGCGATGAGTAAAGGAATGCATTGTACGGAATTCATTTCGCCCGTATTTTACCTCACAAGTTACAAGCCAACAGAAAATGTTATCGGTGGCAGGGAATAATGAGTTCGCTGTCATGTAGCGTAGCTTCTTTATTACACGTGACGTAGGGGCCATATTATGAGAAGAGGCCACGACACTAACCCCGGGCATCTTCGCTTCCGAAATGTCTGGAGGGAGCGCTCTGTGACAAAATGTAGTTAGAGGAAAAAGATTTGATGCTGAAGCAGGCAACACAAACGACCGCTGTTTCCAATCTCATTTGGAGCTTTGGTCGTCAGTCGGCGTTTTTGGCGTTGTGTTGGGAATATTTAGATTTTCTGTACAAGACCTATCTATCTACGGACAATTCATTTTTATTGCATTCTCAGACTATAATTGTGTATCTGTAATGATACATTGATGTCCGTGCAGTTGCCTGTCCCCGTGTACGCTTTAACAACTCGAGAGAGAACGCCTGAACGGATTTTCATGAAGTTTTAAACTGGGCGCGTTACCGCAATCTGTGGACGCTTCCCCGTTTTATAACGAGAGCTCTTACGTATTTCTGCTCTCCGAAGTGACTGGGAGGAGAAATCCCGCTGCCGTTCACAAAGTTCAGATTCTGGCGATTGCGTCGTAATTTGCTAGGCTGAGCGTACTTTTCCTTGGCGGTTTTGTCTTCTAAGGATGTTGTGACCGTTGAGGTCAGATAGAAACAGCATTGGCATATTCTTCTTAGAGGATTGCATTTAACACAGATGACGATGAAATAATAAAATAATATCATTGGACGTTTTTCAGGGTGGAGTCCCTCGGGGAAGTCAGCCGCCATA